TGCTGGCATTAAAGTTGTGAGCGAGCGATTTGGCTGCTGCATAAATTAGTTTGTTCTGGAGCCATCCCTTCCTGAGCTGAGACCAAAATGTGTGAGCTGGAGGCTAAAAAACTGTGAGCTAGCTCACACTAACTCAGCTTAGAGGGAACACTGCTTGGAGTGCTCTTCAAGAAACTCTTATTAATCTGGAAGTTCTAGGCCAGTGATGGCGAACCTTTGAGAGACCGAGTGCCCAAACTGCGACCCAAACCCCATTTATTTATCGCAAAGTGCCAACATGGCAATTTAACCTGAATACTTTACTTTAGAAAAAATAACTCATACATTAACTTAAGATGATTCAAACATAGTGAGGAAAGCAATCCCAAATGCTTTCATTTACTTAAATTTATTTGGCAGAGAATTCGACACTTTAATGATGGTCTGGGCCTGGCTGGGGCGATGGCACACGTGCCCTAGGTTCGCCACCACTGTTCTAGGCCTATGACCAAGGCTGCTTTTGGTACTCAAAGCAGCACACTAGTAATGTGAAGGTATGTATTTGCACATAGTAAATCTGTACATAGGAACTGCGGTGGCTCAAGTGGTTAAGACGCTGAACTGCAGGCTGTGGAAGGTCAGTAGTTCAGCAGTTCGAGACCCGGGTTGCCGCATGACGGAGTGAGCTCCCATCTCTAGTTCCAGCTCCTGCCAACCTAGCAGTTCGAAAGCAAGAAATGGCAAGTAGATAAATAGGTACCACTTCGGTGGGAAGGGAACAGCGTTCTGCGCGCCTTGGTGTTTAGTCATGCCGACCACATGACCACGGAAACGTCTTCGGACAGCGCCGGCTCTTCGGCTTTGAAACGGAGATGAGCACCGCAACCCTAGAGTCGGATTCGACTGGCTTTCGAGCAGGGGAAAACTTTACCTTTACCTAAAGCTGTACGTGATTTTTTTTAAAAAAATGCACAAGTTGCCGTAGTCATGACTGTGTGTATCAGGAGGATCATGGGTAGTGTGTGTTCTCATTACCCACGGCTGGTGCATCCAGATCTGAAAAGGGTTTCAGTGAAGGGTATACAGGGCTGTATTACTTAGTCTGAGTTATCTCCTATTGCTCCGCTTCCTCTGGTGTAGGGAGCCCTGCAGCAGGCACTCCTATGGAAGGACTTGTGTAAAGAACAGTGACAAGCCAGTAGATGAACTGAAGAAGAAAACAATGGGAATGCTGTTGAGCTGGAAGTATAGCTGGTGTACATAATGCAGTAACTTGACTTTGCAAAGGTCTTGTTTTACAAGGCAGAAATCGATGAGGTTGTGCTGCTGCATTGTTATAAACTGGATGGTGCCAGTGTGTGGTGGTGGATGAGGCCTGTGTTATGCCTACATGCGCGCTCTGGTTGTTTACATAGCTAGAGCTTTGCTTTACAGTTGCCAGATCTCTCTCTCTCCCCCCCCCTCGCACTGAACTTGACCTGCTTTCGTTCGAGTATGCCCTAGTTTCTTCATAACTGGGAATTCTAAGAGTTATTATTAGAAAGTTTCTTTTATCTATTTTTATAAGTTGACATAAAATACGGTACCTTGGTGTGTGTGTGTGAGTTCTGTATGCAGAAAAATCATGTTTTCTATATAGGCGCTTGGGAGACTGAAGGTGGAGTAAGGGATGTGGGGTGTGGTTGGTGGAAGGGCAGGGTCTGTCTGTCACAGTTAAGGGAGAGAGTGCTGTGTGAGGATATATTTGTGTCTGTGTGTGTGTGTGTTAGAGAGAGATTAATTTCATGATGGAGGGGGAAGGGAATGGTGAGGCTGCAGCTGCTGGTAAAATGATACAGATGAATCGGCAGGCCTGTCATGGAGGAAACCTCCAGCCTGCATTTCCCTTGCTTCTCTGAGAAATGGGAAAACTCTGCTGAACGCAGTTTTTAAAGGCGCCGGTGCACTTAGCTGTAGATAAGGAGCCAGACCACATCAATGGTATGTAGGAGGGTGTATCACTTATTAAAAAAAAAGAATTTAAAAAAATATTTATGCTTTTATTGTCAAAGTGGTGAACAGTTACATAGCAATCAAAATGTTTACATTCATATCGCATACATATAAGAATTTTGTTAATATTATTTATATAACTGCAGTTTAGTCCACAATTCTAGAGGTAACATTTTTTGAGCCTATAATATAAAGTAGTTTATATTGTACAGATAAAAATGAATCTTAAACCATATAGCAGTACCAAATTTGTCTAAGGTTAGGTCTCGTTCTTTATTTTCTACTTTAAAAGAATGTTGAAAAGTTTATTAGGGGCTCATTGCTACTAAGGAGTAATAATTTTTACAAGCGCTGCTTTTCACACATGCTGTGTTTATGCTTATTTTGAGCATTGGTTTGTATCAGGGGAAAGGAAAAGAAGAGCTACTTTTTATTGAGGAAATGAATGTGATTTTTTTTTTTTAATATCCAACAGAAGCTGATACAGAATGTAATTTGAAATGTGTTACTTGGCCTAAGAGGAATGCTATTCATTAGCACTGGGAACAGGATTATTGGTGGGCTGTAGAAGTATGGGACACATCTATAGGAACATATATCAGTAACAATTCTAAATAGCTTTGGTAGTGCACTTAATGGGAACCTCTTGTTGCTGCCAGTGCTGTGTGGCCCACCACATGTATGTTCAAGGTGCCTGTTTCTATAGATGCTCTTGGAATAACATGCCTCTCCTACAAGACAACACTGCTAGGGACTGTGTGTCTCCAACAAATGGAGCAGGTAGAACAACACCCAAAGCTGTTCTTAATTGCAACCCAGTGATATGTTGGCACTGAGAGGGTGTGGCTTCCCTCCTGAGGAAGTACAGATGGTGAGGGGAGGGGATAAACTTTCTCTTGGTGTTTCTCTTGGTTGGAAGGCCTTATCCTATTGGGATCTTGTGCTTTGAGTATTGTACCATATTAGATTGCCTGTGCTGGAGACCAGAGGTGCAACCTTCTCTCATTAGCTGTACTTTTACTTCTAGCAGAACCTTAAAATGTGCCTTAGCCTCATGTGACCCTGTCTTATCCTTTGTGCAGGGAAAAATGAGAGTGCACTGCTAAGCAAAACTGTCTTGTACCCTGAACATTCATCTATTTAGTAGGTATTTGGTCCTATTAATTTGCCATGTACTTTCTTTTCAACTAAGTGAGCTTAGGTTGCAGATTGTCACACTGTGGGAATGCTAGTTTTCCGACTGAGGGGTGTTCTTGCAACAGCCTCAAGCAGGTTCTCTGGAGGGGTGGCATAGACGATTTCTGAAGAAAACTGTGCAGTAAAATACAGAAGGTTAAAGCTAGATATGCAGTCTATGATACTTGTTCCCCCACATCTCCATAATTAAATGGTACATTAACAAATTCTTTTTGTTCAGATTCCAAACCATCAGTTACCTTGGTTGTTTTCACATTTGAAATAGATTGGTATATTGCTCAATGGAGACACAAATTGTTTTCACATAGACGGTTTTGGAAATGTATGTGTCCACTATTTCCGGTCACAGTTGAAACTTCAATAGTAATTTTATTGGTGTAATAAACAAGTATCATGTATAGAGCCCGGTAGTGTTCTGGGCCTTACGTGATGAAATTCCTGTATTGTATTGTATTTATTTATTTATTTATTCGATTGTCTGAACTAAGTTTTCAAATATGATAAGCGGGGCCCTAAGAGATTTAGGGGGGTATCCTATCGCCACCCCACGTCACTGAGCCCAGGTGCTGCTCCCTGCTGCCACCACCTTGTCAGCGCTGCTGGGCCACTGTGGCCCCAGGCCTCTGCTACAGGACACACAAGGCAGGCCCATTGTCTGCATGTGTACAGACAATGCTTTTTCTTTGGGGGGGGGACTTAAACCCCCCCCCCATGTAATTTTTAAGGTTTTCAGGTATTTCTGTAAAAAACAGGACTAATTCTTTGAGGGCAGAATTTAGTGCTGGATAAAATGCGAAGCTCTTAGTGTTTAGACAGAGGTTTAATGGATTTCTGTCATGGGAGCTGGTCGCAAGGGAACTAATGGAGAAATAATTTTTAAAAATTAACTTGGAACCGTAAAGTGCTTGTGGGGCTATGTGCTGTTTGATTTTTGGTGGGTTTTTTTCCCCTTAGCTTGTTGCTAACTTTTGCCTCTTTAAAATTTTCTTGCAGGATGGACTGTTGAAATAGGGAAGAATCGCAGACCTGGTCATCCAACCCAGCTGGCCTGCTCACTGGTTTATTTATCTATTACTGGTTATTTAAATTGAACTTTTAATAACCTTCCAGCTGCTCTTCAGAGACACACATGGTGCATTGTTGTCATTCTCAGAATCGTATCTTTGAAATCCAGGCCCTCGGTAACCTTCATCGGATAAAGAGGCGACCTAGAGAATACATCTGCGGCAGGTCGCTTGAAACCTGCTGCCCTCTAGCTTCATTGGCTGGTGCTGTTTTTCTAGCACATCATGGAGCCCACAATGGAGTATTGCTTGGCACAGGTTCTGCAGAAAGATGTTGGGAAGAGACTTCAGGTTGGCCAAGAACTGATAGACTATTTCTCGGATAAACAAAAATCTGCTGACCTTGAACATGATCAGACCATGCTGGATAAAATGGTTGATGGTCTTGCTACCTCGTGGGTCAATTCCAGCAATTACAAGGTAAGCTTGTTATGTAGAAGGAGTATTGTCAGGAACTTCAACTTTGACTTGTTAGCACAGGCTTCTCCATCAGTTATAGAATGAGAGATTTCACTCCTCTCTTATGAATCCTATTGCTCTTGCATCTTTCCTATTGACCAATGACTGATGTGACAAGTTCTTCATCTTGTGGTAGTTTATCTCATACAGAAGATCTAACAGAGCTTTATAAACAAAATAACTGCCTTGACTGGACTGAACATCATGCCGCTAAAGCAAGAATACCCTTACAGTACTAGATTGGATCAGTGTTCTGTGTAGCGTGCTGTGTGTGTGTTTTTTTTTTTGGACACAAAAAGCAACCTGGAGGGCAAATGGAGAACTTTATTGATATTGATTGCTTTTGATTTCTGGCAGCCTTGGATTAAGAAGGATCCTCAGCGTGACATGCATTTAAATAATTAGATACTGGCTTTCTGAGCTTCCACCAACCTATCTAAGTCATAATATTATTTGTACAGAGATTGATTTGGAAACTATTTCTATAAAGAAGGATTTGTATAAGGGTAGTAATAAGAAACTAGGCTGTTGCCAAAAACAGCAGCCCCGAGTAGCGTTCTCTCCCCTTCCCTGTCTGTGACATGTGATGTGGGGTCACTCTGTTCTGATATAATTCTTCTGCGTACTTTCCCACCCCAATGTTGCACTTAATGTTGTTGGCTGCTGGTGGTGATGTGGAGCTGAATCACAAAACTAGGAGTGTTCTTCTGCTTTAATTTAATGGGAAATTTACCAGCCAGCCACCCTTCCCAGAATTTCTGACTGGGAAAAATACGACAATATGCCCAGACACCCATTTCATGCTTCTGTTGGGGGAAATTTTTCTCGAAATACTATAGATCAGGGTGTCAAACTCATTTGTTATGAGGGCCAGATATGACATAAATGAGACCTTATCGGGCCGGGCCATGTGTGTCATAAAATGTAATGCCCAGTAGCGAAAATGTAATGCCCAGTAGCGGAGATATAAACTTTATAAAGGACACAAACACAATTAAAGATTTTTTAAACTTAAAATAAAAACATGCTTAAAACGTTAGCACTCTTGCAATATTTTATTTATTCAACAGTCTCTGATAAGTGACGCCTGTTGCTCTGAATTATTGCATCAAAAATGTCTGTGCTGTAGCAATCTTGAGTATGATTGTAATGATTTCATGTTTAACTGTGTGTGTGTGTCTTTAAAAGTTGGGTTGCATGGCGGTGAGAGATAGTCTAGGGTGGTTGAAACAGGCAAGTGGTGTGATTGGTGATTGGCAGAAAGGGGGAGGGGTTTTGGAAGTGATGCTGTGTGGATGATTTGTATGTCAGTCAAGAGTTTCAGTTTAGACAGTTGATGAGGACAGTTAAACAGGCAGTCAGTTAAGTTCTGTCTCTGAGAGAAGGAGACACATCCCTGTGTGGGATAAGTTGGTCCTGTGTATGAAAAGAGTGAAGCAGTCTTGTATGATATAAGAGTTCTGAGTTAAATATTTATGTGTGAAAGGAGAGACATTCAGTTCTGTGTTATAGGAGTTATAAACTGAAAGCTGAGAGTCTAGGAAACAGTAAAGATTATATGGACTTGAAGGAAAAGTGTTACAAAGTTACCTATGAAAAATCCCTGTCAGTAGGGAGCAAACTGTGTGTTATACCTACTTTACTAGTTACATGGTTCTACCCTCGTATTTATGCTTTATTTAAATAAATCCTATTTCATTCAAGTATACCAGCTCTGAAAGAAATAAATACATCCTGAGGAACACATAGTCCCTTGAAAGCCTAAAGACCCGACCTACCTACCCAGTAGAAAAAATATTATATTATAAAGGTTTGGAAAGCCTTAAAATTTCCTGGTGGCAGCCGGATGTACAGAGTAAAACAAAACAGAAAGAACACTTTAAAGTAAAACCAGACCTCCCCAGTTAAGGGGTCGTCACAATGATGTTCAAGTGTGTATCTGTAAGCTGCAAACCTACTTTTGATTTATTGACATTCATTACAGAAATCTTATGGTCAGTGCTCTGAGCATAGGACTCAAGGGAAAATATGAAATGGCTGGGCATTGTGAGCTTTTGTACATAAATTGCTTCATGTGCTGGTCAAGAACATGTTAAGGCATCATGACACAGAGTGTGGGCTATGTGTTTGTCTACAAAACTATAGTCTTCCCAGAAAAATAACTGCAGTTCCTATGAGGCAATACATGATTAGAGAGACAGCCATGTATAGTGGTCAGTATAAGTCTGCTATCTGGGAAGTCTAGGTCCAAAATCCTCAGTCTTCAAAGGAAATGTGCTGGGTGAAATTGGTCTGGACACACACATAAAGCCTAATCCACCTCACTGGCTTGTTGTTATTCCTCATCTAAATAGTTCACCTTGCTTTCCTACTGAGCAAGACTAGATCATGAGGACAGGAATACAGTGAAAAGGGGGAGGCAAACCCAGGAGAGCCCTGGCATAATGAGCCCAACAAAACACACATACACACACTGTAGCAAGGCACACAAAAGCTCATACCTTGAATAAAACTTTGTTGGTCTTAAAGGTACTTTGTATTTCTCCCGGGTGATTAAGGCAGCCAAGCGAAGGGAAGGAGCCTCAGCCAATGGAAGGGAAGAAAGTCTTGCCTTTGTCTCCTGTGCAACTGAGGGAGCCTGGCCAGGAAGCAAGCTCTGGCTCACTCCCTCCTGCTGGAAGGAGGAGGGGGAGGAGCCTCAGCTAATGCAGAGAACAGAGGCTTGCCTATCTATCTGTCCTGTGTGATTGACAGAGTCTGGCAAAGCAAGCTGTGGTGCAGCAGTAGCAGAACTGGAGGAGGAAGCAGGAGAGAGCCAGTTGCTCAAGGACCAAGTAGGAGCCCTGCGGGGGTTGGATCCGGCCTGCGGGTTGCATGTTTGACACCCCTGTTATAGATACTTCTTGAGTCACACTTACTCAGTTCTGTGAGAAAGGGGATAATTACTTTAATTTACCAGCCAGGAGCAAGCCATGCTGAATCCCAGAGCTGCTACCAGTTTTACAGGGGCCCCTTTATTCAGCTTGCTCCTAGGTTGCTTAAATGTCCAAGTCCACCCCATGCAAAATCTGGGGCTGATCTGCTTAAGAAACCAATATAGGTGAGTGGCCTGCTGTGGGAAGCAGGTGCCCTTGTAGAGGTTGCTTAAATGTCCCAGTCGACCCCTGTGCAAAATGTGGGGCTGATCTGCTTGAAGAACCAACATAGGTGAGTGGTCTGCTGTGGGAAGCAGATTCCCTTGTAGAGGTAGTTTCAAGAGCCCTTCTTGTGACAGCTAAGTTGTGAGAAATTTCCCCCAACAGAAGCATGAAATGGGTGTCTGGGCATATTGTCATATTTTCCCCAGTCAGAAATTCTGGGAAGGGTAGCTGGGGCAGGCCATATTGAGTACTTACGTTGTGCATTGGCATTGGCTCCTGGCAGTAGTGGGCCTGATGGCATTACTTTAAGGCCTCATGAAGCCCTCTTAGATTGAGTCAAACTATCTAGCTTTGTACTGTCTGCCCTGGCAGTGGCTCTCGAAGGATGCAGGAGGAGGACTTTACCAATCCTGCTACCTGAGGTTCTTTCAACTAGAGATGTCAGGGGATAAAGCTAGCAACTTGTGAGTTCAAAGCAAAAGTTCTGCCACTGAGCTTGCTCCCCTTTCACTCTTAACTAAATACTTCTAAAATGCAGTTCAGTATTGTTGAGATTGAATTGTATGATACACTATGCTATCTGGCTTTTTGTTTTGTTTTGTTAACAGGAAGTATCAGATGGCCTAGGTGTCTGCAGTGTATTCCCAGGTTTTGTGTTGCTCTAGATTTGCATTGGAGCTGCGGTGGCTCAAGTGGTTAAGACGCTGAACTGCAGGCTGTGGAAGGTCAGTAGTTCAGCAGTTCGAGACCCGGTTGCCGCAAGATGGATTGAGCTCCCATCTCTAGTTCCAGCTCCTGCCAACCTAGCAGTTCGAAAGCAAGAAATTGCAAGTAGATAAATAGGTACCACTTCGGTGGGAAGGTAACAGCGTTCCGTGCGCCTTGGTGTTTAGTCATGCTAGCCACATGACCATGGAAATGTCTTCAGACAGCGCTGGTTCTTCGGCTTTGAAACGGAGATGAGCACCGCAACCCTAGAGTCGGATTCAACTGGCTTTCGAGCAAGGGAACCTTTACCTTTACCTTTTTAGATTTGCATTATGTGTATTATAAGTATACTTCAGCTTGCCCCTTAGAAAACACCATATGTCCAGCCAGAATTTTAAACTAACAGATTCAGGAAAGGTGGTCCCCCCCATAAGGAGGAAACCAATCATATAACATGAGTAGAAGTTCAGAAGAATATGCCCTCTGGAAAAAAACCCACATAGCTTTATGACTGGCTGTAACTTGTTGTGACCACATTGGAGAAATAATGGACTTGGATCTTGACGTATTGGTCACTGCCATATGGGGACTATTTATAACTATTTGGTTATCTAATTCTTAGCAGCAAGTACAACAGTTGTTAGCAGATAGTTCATGTTGAAGTTTGTGTGAAGCCATAAATAGTCACTGGGAAGGAAGCAACTCCTTTTCTAATTAGCAGTGTTAGAGTCATGGTTGGGAACTTCTGACAAGAGCGTTATGAGATGTCATTTCTACTACACAAGAATAAAGAAGTTGGTTCTCATTCATTTTGAAGGTATCTTCCTCACATTGAAACTGAGAGGCGAAGCGAAGTCACTATAGATACTTTTTGAGAGGCGAAGCAAATTCACTATAGATACTTTTTGAGTCACACTTATTCAGTTCTGTGAGGAAGGGGGTAAGTGACGCTGACAGGCCCACATTCAGATTCTGTGGTTACAATACTTTATTTAAAAAGCCCCACAAGAACAAATTTAAGTCCAGCGGCACCTTTAAGACCAACAAGTTTTTATTCAAGGTATAAGCTTTCCTGTGCATGTACATTTCTTCAGATACATTAAAGCAAAAAAG